AGGGAAATGGCAACATTAATTCTGCCATTGTCTTAATTAATTCTGCCATTGTCTTATGCTGACCACTGCGCTGCAGTTAAAATGAGGTTGTTCTTTATGAACCATAGGTGTAGCTTCAGGACATTCTACTGAGGAAGAAAGCAAGTAGTGGATCAATACAGCATAACAGGTTGTGGGTCCATGTTTTTAGTGTGATACATCTTCATGCTTTTTATAAAGGAGACAATGCTAAATTAAAAACTGCAGTTCAGAAACTTCTACAGATACATATGTGTGCAAATGCATATCTGTAATACATATCTACACATATGTATACACACAAGTGCACACATGCACACACATGTCTCACTGGTAATAGGGTTGCTTTTGAGGAGAAGGCAAAGAACTACAAGGAGAAATGGACTGGACTCTTACCTATAATGTTTTTAATTTTTTAACAAGGAAATGTATTTCTTGTGTAAATAAAATAAAAGTAAAGCAAAAATATACTTTAAATGCACCCAGGATATGAGTAAATTGTCCATCACTGGATACAGGCTGCCCCCAGGGCGGGGTGTAACTTGGGAGAGGCAGTTCCCTTCATGTTTTGCTGAGGATCACTCCTTGAAAGGATTCAGCCTCCCAGCAGGGGGAACAATAAGGAACAACAGGATAAATTTACTTATATCCTGTTATTTTTTTTTAAGCTTACAAAAGAAGAAGAAAATTAGACAAAGGAAAGAAGAGATTGAAAAAGTATGTAAGCATCAGATTTTGCTCTCAACCCCATGGCAGCCAGAGCAAAAAGGGGGCACACTGTAAATTATGTCACTTTTCCTTGTAAAATGGAGGGTGCATCCACTCTCTTTTCAGAGAGAAAGTTTTTATACTGAAACCATATTTTTAAAAAAATGATACATGTGCAGCTTTACATAGGAGGTCACACGTCCTCCACCACCATTTTAAGCATGACTGTTCCTATCTAAGTTTAATGTCCTACTTTCTCTTCCTTACTGCTTCCATACCCTCTCCCCTGCCCGCTTCTCCCGCCTCATCTTGTGTCACTCTCCTCCTTGTGTGCTATGCTCCAACCACATGGGCCACCTTCTCGCTGGTCCTTCAGCAAGCTCAGCCTGCTCCCATCCCAGGAAGGAGTGGTGGATGTTGTGTGTGCCCAGACTGCCCTGGGGCACTGAGACACTGTTCCCCCTGCTGGGAGGCTGAATCCTTCCAAGGAGTGACCCTCAGCAAAACATGAAGGGAACTGCCTCTCCCAAGTTACACCCCACCCTGGGGGCAGCCTATATCCAGTGATGCACAATGGGGCTGGGGATAAAGGCCTGGATCTGTTGCTTTGATTCAGGTCATCTTTAATGGGCCGTCCCCACCTCAGAACTCCCTGTAGGATTGGCTGAAGCCTCTGTGATAACCTCTTCACTGCCCAACACCCCCTCTGTCTATCCAGCGTCCCTCACACTCCCATGGGTGTGGAGGCTGGGCACATGCCCTAATAAACCACCTGTATGCAGAACTCTACTCAATCTGGAGAGGCCACCTACAACAGTGGGGCCTTTGTAGAAGCTGTTCTCTCCACCTGGAACATTCCCCTGTCCCTGGTTTTCACACTGTCATGGTGTCATACATCTATCCACGGAAATGTCACCTTCTCAGAGAAACTTGCCCTTACTGCTCAACCTGAAATAGCCTCTCAGACACTACCCTATTAGCCAAGTTGAAGTCTCTGCACAGCGCTTCTCACTATCTAATACATTATTTGTTTATCTGTCAATCATGAGTAATTTTTAAAAATAGAGACAGGGTCTTGCTCTGTCACCCAGGCTCGAGTAAAGTGGCACAATCAGTCTGCTACAGTCTTGAACTCCCAGGCTCAAGCCATACTCCTGTCTCAGCCTCCAGAGTAGGTAAGACTACAGGTTTATGCCACCATGCCCAGCTAAGATTTTTGTTTTTTGCAGAGACAGGGTCTCACTATGTTGCCCAGGCTAGTCTTGAGCTCCTGGCTTCAAGTGATCCTCCCACCTCAGCCTCTCAAAGTGCTTGGATTACAGGCGTAAACTAATGCGCCCTGAGTGTCATTAGTTTAACTATATCTGTATATATTTCGGCTGGGCATGGTGGCTCACACCTGTAATTCCAACACTTCGAGAGGTTGAGGCAGGTGGATCACATGAGGTCCGGAGTTCGATACCAGCCTGACCAACATGGAGAAACTCTGTCTCTACAAAAAATACAATATTAGCCGGATGTGGTGGTGCATGTCTGTAATCCCAGCTACTTGGGAGGCTGAGGCAGGAGAATCACTTGAACCCAGGAGGTAGAGGTTGCGGTGAGCCGAGATCACGCCACTGCACTCCAGCCTGGGCAACAAGAGCAAAACTCCGTCTCAAAAAAAAAAAAAAAATCTATCTCTCTCTCTCTCTATCTATCTATCTGCCTACCTACCTACCTACCTATATCTATATCTATAGATGTAGATATAGATATTTCCCCTATTTCCCCCATCATTGGCTCCTTTTCTTCGTCTACCTCATCCACCGTTGCATTTCCAGAGCCTAGAACAAGGACCTAGCAAATACCAGGTGCTCAGTAAACATTTCTTGAATTAGTTAATGACTGAAATTCTAAAACATATAAAGATAATTAGAGGAAACGTTAATGTTCTTTAAACAACTTGATGGCTTTTGATAAGAATAAGGCTAAAATGTGCAAATTCCCAAATTTGGTTTGGCTTTGAAAATAGACGTATCATTAAAAACAGTTCACTGACCTTGTGACTTGGAGAGTAAAATTTCTTCTGGAATGATCTATGTGACCCTTTATTTAGAAGAACAGATATTTTGTGCAGAATTAGGTAGCATAGAAGGAGATGTGGCTGTGCCTATGCCAGGGAGGAGACGGGGCCTGCTCCAGGCTGTCCTTGTGGGTCTCAGAAGGAAGGTGTGAGCTGAGGGATCGACTGAACCCCCACCCCACGCCAGATGCTGTTCAAGCACCTTCTATGGAACAACTGATTTCATCTTCATGACTACCCTATGAGCTAGACACTATTGCTCTCCCCATTTTATACGTCAGTAGACTGAGGCACAGAGACGTTAAGGACCTTGTCTAAGATTTCACAGCTTGTAAGTGGCCGAGCTGGGAGTTAAGCCATGACAGCTTGATTTCAGAGACTGCACCATTTACAGTCTCACTGTTGCCAGGCAGATGTCCTGCAACCACAGAAAAATAGACATGAACAAGGTGATTTTCTTCTAGTTCCTTTCAAATTTTTTACTCTGAAACATATGACATGTTCAGGTTATTAAAGCAAGAATGTCTGTTGGCCGAGTGTGGTGGTTTACACCTGTAATCCCACCACTTTGAGAGGCCGAGGCAGGAGGGTCACCTGAGGTCAGGAGTTCAAGCCTAGCCAACGTGGTGAAACCGCATCTCTACAAAAAGCACAAAAATTAACCAGGCGTGTTGGCGGGTGCCTGTGATCCCGGCCAGTTGGGAGGCTGAGGTAAGAGGATCACTTGAACCCGGAGGGTGGAGGTTGCAGTGAGCCAAAATCACGCCATAGGACTCCAGCCTGGGCAACAGAGTGAGACTCCACCTCAAAAAAAAAAAAAAAAGTCTGTCAATTCTGTGCATTTCTAAAAACTCTCACTCCCAAAGTCCTTTACATCGATGCCTCCCTCATTCGATGTCTTGGCACTATGGGAACTTGCGTGGCTGTAATACTTAGGGAAGGGTGAAGGGGGAGATTTGATCTGAGAAGTAAAGTCAAATTTTAAATAAAGCAAAAAGCAGGAAATGCAATGAGGAAAAGGTCTATAGGAACAAATGATGGAAAGAAGCCAAAAGGCTGGAAATAGAGCTCTTGAAAACAACCTTTGCTATTCTTGAAGCAAAACAAGCTGACTGCTGAGGCTCTTGTTAGAGAAGATTGAGTTACGCTCCTGAGTGCTTTCTCCCAGTGTTGTTTTCCTCTCACCTCTGGATGGATTAGACTAGAGAATCTAATATGATTTGCTCATTAAAGCCCATCTGCTTCCTTTTCTGATCTGCCCTCTCTTCTCTATCCTTCCTAATGTTTCTTTTCCTTTCTTCCCAAGCATGAGCTTTGCAGTTAAAGAGACCCAGCCAGGTTCCTGCCTCTGCCACTGATTGGCTGTGTGCCTATTCAGGCAAATGATTTAACTGGTTCAGCTTTATTTTCCTCATCAGTTAAACGGGCACAACAATAGCAACTCCACAGAATTGTGAGAATGAAATGAGGCATATATATAAAGTGCCTAGCATGGAGGGGTGCATATAATGCACCCCTTCCTTTCTTTTCCCCATTTCTCTTTCCTTCCCCTTCATTCCTAATTCTTTCATATTTGCTGGGCTGCACTGCTAGGGGAATAATTGCCTTCAATGGCCAAGATTCTCCATGGGGTGAATCTCATAGAGAGCTCTAGTGTTCAAAGCTACAACATAATTTCCAAATAAAGCTTTTAGAGGAGAATTTATCTGTAAATATCAAACACAAAGGCAATCACTTAAACATCATTAAATATTTCATCAAGCCCAGGAATGCCGAATATTAAAGAGAAAGCCATTCTAGTAGATTACTCTTGTTAGTGTTATTAATGTTAAAATAATTATATATAGTTGCAATTAATTATGAATTAAGGGTTCATTGGTAAGAGTCAACAGACATCTGTTTCTATTATAAATTGTAATAATGGATTCTATTAAAATCAATTAATAACACCATGGGGAATCCAGTCCTTGCCAGTGTTTGGATAACAGAAAAAACATCTACCCTAAAATAAAATATGAAAATTCCAATCCCCAGGCTAGATCTAAGGCTAGTGGAGCATTTTACATATACTGCAAATTAAATAGATTTCATGTTGGTTGTGGGATGTCAAGTTATGACAATGTTAAAATATCCAAGTGATATCCTATCCTATAGGTAAGAAGATATGAGCATCCTCTGAAGAGAGAACTTGCTAAAAATGGAAACTTACCATTGCAGAGTAGCAGGAGTGGAGTGGGGCTTGGATGCTCTATTATTTTCTTTTTCCTCATCTGTTAAAGGAAAGAAAAAGAAGCTAACTTCAGTAGGAAACAGTAGGAAAAAGTAAAAGTCGTGTCGACTCTCCCAAGTTTCAAAAGACTATGTTTCTCTGAAATGTTGATGCTTTGAAACAATATTTTGGCTTTTCCAACATGTTAGACTCATCATACTTTAATACAAAAAAAAGCAAAATTGACTTTTATTTTAAAACTCTTATGTCAATTTTGTTTTTATTTGACACAATGTGTTAGAGTTTGAAGAGCATTTCCCTTTATCACTGACCAATGTGATCACATTCATCCACTCGGTATTTTCGTAACTGAAGCAGGACAGACTACAATTTCAACCCTAAAAACATAGGGACCTCACTCACTGCTATGGACTGAATATTTGTGTCCCCCACAGAATTTATGTGTTGAAACCTAATCCCCAAGATGATGATGATATTTGAAGGTGGGGCCTTTAGGAAGTGATCAGTCATGAGTCTTATGAATGAAATTAATGTCTTTATGAAAGAGATCCCAGAGAGCTTCCTCATACCCATTTCTCCCCTCTGAGAAGACAGAGAGAAGATAGTGAGAAGATAGCCATCTATGAACCAGGAAGCGGGCCCTCACCACACCCAAATCTGCTATTGCCTTGATCTTGGACTTCCCAGCCTCCAGAACTGGGAGAATAAATCTCTGTTAATTAATCTTTGAGAATAAACAATAGAGAAATAAATCTCTGTTGTTCATAACCCACCCAGTTTATGGTATTTTGTTATGAAAACCTGAACAGACTAAACTCTTCACCATTTGTTCTTTGTAACCCCAATGAAGCAGAGCCTTAATGTAGGGTAGGGAAAGTGTAAGTGTTCAGGAGAAGAATCGGGTTAGCAATGCAATGGAGCAGGGTTTAGCACATATTTTCTGTAAAGGACCTGATAGTAAATATTTTAGGGTTTGTGGACCAATAGTAAAAATCAAGAATATTGTATAGAATTTATATGACGGAAGAGAAAACAAGTTTCCATGAAATATTTATTGATAAAATTCAATGTAAGCCCAGGCACAGTGACTCACACCTGTAATCCCAGCACTTTGGGAGGCCAAGGTGAGTGGATCAGTTGAGGTCAGGAGTTCAAGACCAGCCTGGCCAACATGGTGAAACTCTGTCTCTACTAAAAATACAAAAATTAGCCAGGCATGGTGGCGCACACTTGTAATCTCAGCTACTCAGGAGACTGAGGCAGGAAAATCACTTGAACCTGGGAGGCGGAGGTTGCAGAGAGCCAAGATCGTGCCACTGCACTCCAGTCTGGGCAACAGAGCAAGAATCAAAAAAAAAAAAAAATCCAATGTAATAGTAATAATTGAATATAATTTTTGTAATATATGTCTATTAATGAGAAGAATTAAATTAATTTTGGGGGTGTAGGTAACATTCTTCTAATTGGGATTAGAATTAATGTTGCCTATTATTAAATAGATTACAAAAGTTGATCTGTAAAGACCATTTTTAGCTTGCAGCCCCACAAGCATCAGGCCAGATTTGGCTCACATGACCCTGATTTGCTGAGCCCTGCAATACCACAGTCTGAACAACAGATTAATTTTTAGCATATCTAAAAAGAATTTGTCACAATTTCATCATGGATTTACTGAGAAACACATATAATCAGTCTCTTATCCAATTCCTAATAAAGATTATTGATAGGAACAGTCAACATAAAATTCCTTGATTCACAAAATTTGGCCCAAGATAATTAGGACAAATAAGAGTCTCAAGAAGAAAACTAATAATGTCAAAGCCTACAAATATTATCAATAAAATTTAATATAGACATTAAAAAGATAAATGAAATCAATCTGTGGCATAAAATTTATATGGAAAAGAATTGGTATCTATGAAAACAGTTTAAGTAAAACAAAAATGAAAATGGAAAAAAATGAAAATGTCATATGATGTACAGAAAAATTTTTCTAAAATTAGCTCATCAAAGCTGAATCCAGAAAATATCTTATTGATGAAAATGTATCAATATTGGTGTAATTCTGATTTAAATGTCTACTTATAAGCACTGTGGCAGATATTGTTGTTGCTTAATCAAAACCTACATGTACCCACCTTCTTCCTTATATGTAGAAGCCCAGTTTAGAGAGGATTGTGTGTTCAAGGAGAGTGACCCCCTTTCAAATCCTAGAAAGGTGAATGTTGATTCATTTACGACAATCATGATAATTAATTTTATGTCATCTAGCCACTGATTGGATTAGGTGGAGCATGTAACATGATGTAGGCTGATCACATTTCAGAAGACGCTCTCTCTCAGGGCTTCTGGGAAAAGTATTTTTCCCTAATAAAATTGAAGGAGTGAGAGATTCTCGCCTGTTCTACTTTTGAATGTGGCTTTGAGATGACACAATAACTAGATTAAAGCAGCAAACTTGGGATGGGGAAAAACACAATCTGAGGACAAAGTCAACACCTAGGAAGGCAGAGAAAAAAAGGGAAAGCTTGGGGGCTCTGATTATCACGTGGTGCCTCTGATGAACCAACCCAAACAATGGCTGCCTCCTATTCTATGAGACAGCACAGTTTCTTTGGTTGATAAAACTTCCTTTCATTGGGTATTCTCTTCCCTGCCACTAAAACTATTCTAACTGATGGTTAGAACCCGAACCACACTAATGCTAAATGTTCTCAGGAACGGAATATAAAATACATCATAGACTCAACACCTGTTCATGATGCTTTGTCAACCTGGAGTTCTTCTAAATAGATGTTTCTCATCCCTTCCAGCCTGGAATAAATGCCACCAACTCTTTGAAGCTTTCCTTGATACTCTCTTAGTCAGGAATCAATCATTGATCCTAACTCTGTGCTTCTATAACACATTATTCACCTCTTAGCTGTCCTGTGTAGCCACCTGGATCACTATTTCTTTTCTTTTTTTTTTTTTTTTTTTGAGACGGAGTTTGCTCTTGTCGCCCAGGCTGGAGTGCAATGGCATAATCTCAGCTCACTGCAACCTCCACCTCCCAGGTTCAGATGATTCTTCTGCCTCAGCCCTCCGAGTAGCTGGGATTACAGGTGCCCATAACCACGCCCAGCTAATTTTTGTATTTTTTAGTAGAGTCGGGGTTTCACCATGTTGGTCAGGCTGATGCCAAACTCCTGCCCTCAGGCGACTGGATTATTATTTCTGTACACATCCACCCCTTCTGCTCAAGCATAAACTCAGTGAGAAGGCAGGGGTGGTATCTCAGTCAGCTGCATTACCTCCTGCAGGACCTAGCACAGCACCTTCCACTTAGTATTTAAGTAGTTAAGTGTGCCTTCTCCAGTCTTAAAGAACAGCACAATATAGAGCGTGAACATGGGGGTCTCACAAGAATGTGGGTAAGTGAACACCTAAGGACACAGAACAATACTCAACCTCAGTTGTTCACAAATAAATAAAAAGGAAACAAATAATGAGTCATTCTTTATATCTCTGAGGGAAAAGCAAATTTAAATAATGACAATTTTTGATGCTGGTGTATACATGGTGAAATTGACACTCTCAGAGTTCTTTATACCTGAAGATAGTGTTAATGTTTTTAGTATGCAATTTGGCAGTAATGTTAAGAACCATCTAAAATGTTCAGCTGCTTGTCCTCACAACCCAACTTCTAGAAATCATAATACTAAGCAAATAATCGAAGAGAAAGAAAGGGCTATATAAAAAACATGGGACCACGTGCGGTGGCTCACGCCTGTAATCCCAGCACTTTGGGAGGTGGAGGCAGGCAGATCACTTGAGGCCAGGAGTTTGAGACCAGCCTGCCCAACACGGTGAAACCCTCTCTCTACTAAAAATACAAAAATTAGCCGGGCATCATGGCGCACACCTGTAATCCCAGCTACTCGGGTGGCTGAGGCACCAGAGTCTCTTGAGCCCGGGAGGCGGAGGTTGCAGAGAGATCACACACCACTACACTCCAGCCTGTGTGACAGGAATGAAACCCTGTCTCAAAAACAAACAACAACAACAAATTGTCAATTGTGTTTTTTTAAACAAAAAAAAAAACATATAAACAACCTAAATCTACCCCTATCTAGCTTGCACTGGCACGTTGCTAGTATTTTTGTTCCCCCTAAAACCGGCGGGGTTTTAAATTTTTGTTTCTTTAAATTTCAGCGTTTTGGTCAACGTGGACAGGTTGTCAAAAGACCTAGATTCGAATAATCCTAACACTTAACCGGCCAGAACTGAGCAAATCACTCAACTTACTCGAGCTTCATTTTTCCTCGTTTGTAAAAAGGTCATCTTCTATGGCAATTATAAGAATCCTATTAATTTGTTCAACAAATATTTATTGAATACCTTATTTGTGCCAACTAGTCACCACAGAGAAAGAAATTAAACTCTTGCCCTTGAGTTTAGTTGGGGAAAGAGAAAGGCAGAGGAGACAGAGGACAAGTTCAGCAAGAAGTGGTAAGTGCTGTGATACAGGTAGGCACGGAGGAGTTGGCCAACCCAGACTACATGAAAAAGCAGAGCTTGTCAGAGAAGGTTCCCTGGAGGAAGTGATAGGTGAGCTGTGTCCTGGAGTGAGTCAGAGATGGGAGCCAGACGGGGGTAAGGTGGGATGGAAGTCAGGAGTAGGGTGGGGAAGGTGAGAGCAGATAAAGTCAAGGGACCTGACAGATTGTGTCACTTTCCCAGAAGCAAGGTGGCTGCAGCATGGGTCTTTGCTGGATGTGGCAGAGTGGATCCAGGTGAGCATGGAATGTGATGTTTAACAATCTAATTATCCCGTTTAAGTCTTAAGACAGTCGTCTCTAAACGGAGGATAATAATAAGCCCTACCTCAAAACGTTGTTGGGAGGATGAAGTGAAATGAGCTAGCCGTCTGCGGAGAAAGGTTGCCCTTGGCTATGCCTGGCCGGCCAGGGGGCGTTTGGAGCAATTCTGTCTGCTGGGATCTGCTGCTATGGAAGATTTACAGGGGCAAAGACAACCGCGTCGCCAAGGACCTCACAA